CTCTTGTAGACCAGGCTGACATCAAACTCACAGAGATCCGCATGCCTCTGCCTCCCAAGTGCTGGGATTAAAGGCGTGCGCCACCAACACCCGGGGGAGGGGGGGGAAGGCTGGGCTTTCATCACACGCTTCATACAGCTAGTTCCGTAGACTGACTGCAGTAACAGATACAAGAATTGGACATTTGCAAAAATAAATAAATAAATAAATAAATAAATAAATAAATAAATAAAACATGGCCACTCTTGTCATCATTTTGCTCTGGAAAAGTTACTTTTCACTAGAGAAATATAATGATCTTATTGCTATCTTAAAGTTAAATTTTTTCAATGTTCTCACTTTTAATTTTGAATACAGCAGATATCAATAGATGGAATCTATATAGCGAAATTTCCAAGGGAACTATCAAAACTTGAAGACTCTGCCAGGGTGTTTATAGGTATTGCCAGTCTATAGGAAAACACCGTGTCTAGAGAACCACCTGGTCCTGGTTTTGCATCTTACTACCCTTCTCCCGTAAGTTCTGCTGCTGGCTTACTGATTTTTGCAACTTTGCTTATGTGGTTGGGACACACAGCCCCAGACCACTTCATTTCCCCTTCTGGTGGGTCAGCGCTCTTCCCTCCGCGCCAGGGTCTGTGGGTGGAGAGACTCGCTCAGACCCAACTTCCCAGCGTGTTCACCGATGTATTCTGCACACAGCCTTCAGGGTCTAGTTGCTTGTCTCTCTTAATTAGGGTTCCTGGTGTGTGAAGGACCTGGTTTTCTATTATATATATATATATATATATATATATATATATATATATATATATTTACCATCGGAGGGCCCTGAGTGTGCTGCAATAAACTTTACGGGATTTTGGTAAATACTAGCTGACAATTTCTAGGGACATCTATGAGCTTCTATGATCCTATGAAAATTAATCAGAATATTCAGTGCCTGCTGTGAGTACAACACAGACAGTTAGAGAAGGGGGGGGCGGCTCGGAGGGGAACCCTTACTCCGGGACCCGAACTGTGTTTGGAGACTCAGGATTTACAGCCAAAAAGGAGTCATGGAAGACACAAATGTCACACCGCCAGAGAGACAACTGGCTTTACAGGCTTCTAGGGAAGGGTGGGAGCTCACCCACTGGGTAGGTGCCTGGAACCAACACTCCAGGCTGCAGGTGGGGACTCAGAGGTCCATTGAACAGGGAGGGTTTAGTTAGAGGTCGGCAAGGCAGGGGTTTCAGGTCAGTGAGTAAATCTGAGCCAAGGCAGAGGCAGAAACGAGCACAGCGTGTTCACGGCCTAATGAGGAGACCGCTGACCACAGTGAAGGTGAACCGTGTGTAAGGAGGGCCAGGAGGCCCCGCACAGGAGTTTAGTCAGCCTGAGGAGGGAGAGGAGAAGCATCTTACGGGTAGGGAAGTGGCACCAGCTTTCTGCACACAAGATGGGTAATTTGTGTGTGTGTGAGAGAGGACAGAGTCGATGGGGCGTCTAGTTTTGATGGGGTGGGGTGGTCAAGAGAGGGCGGTGAACATGGAAGGTGGCAGCTCTGGGCCTTCAAGTGGGAATGTTTTCTGCCTTAGAGGCGTGGAGAAGAATACCCCGGATCAGAGGGCTAGTGAGCACAAGGTGAGCAGATGTTCTTGGTGTAGAGCTGACACCTGCTTTTTGTATTTAAAAAAAACCTGATTGACTTTACTCTTTGATAATTTCGTGTGCGTTCTGTTTATTCTTAGTCCCTCCCTCTGCTATCTTCCTCTTCCTGTGGTCCCGGCCTCCTCTCTATTGGTCCCTTTTGTGACGTTCTGGTCTTTTTTAGTCTTTGCTCGTGAACTTCTGACTTTAACCAGAACCATCTGTGAGGCTGAGTCTGTAGCTATCCAGGGGGAGCTTGGTGGGCTCACCCTTCAGGCTCACCGTTTCACGCAGAGCTTAAGGCCGCGACCGGTCCCTCCCCCAGAATCCACCAGATAGATAGACATCTTTCATTCTGGCCTTCCCTCATGTCTTACTGCCTTAGCACTAGGCAGCTGTGTGGTTTGGGGCAAGTTGCTCAATTCTTAGATGTCACTTCTGTCATCTGCAAAGTATGAGTATTTATAGTATTTTCCTCACAAGTTTATTATGGGAATTAAATAAGTTAATATAATTTACCTTATCACGGGAGTATATGTAAATCACTCAAGCAGAACTATATAGAATGGGAAAACAAACGACAACAAAAATCTAGAACCCAACTTCTGCCTCTAAAAAGAAAAAAAGTAAAAATACAAAAAACAAACCAAAAATCCAAATCCTCAAAACTTGATCAGGACATCACAAAGATGGAGAGCCCAAAGCTTCCATTGCAGGAGCTCAGTGGGTGGAAACATTTAATGCCAAGCTCTGGAACACCTGTCTTTAATCCTGCCCCTTCTACCCCACATGGTGGAGGGACATACTGACTCCTGAGAGTTGTTCTGCGACTTCTACACACACACAAATACATGTAATAACACACACACACACACACACACACACACATAAAACCCTCCAATTCCGTGAGCTCATCCATATCTTGAGTGTAGAACCTAAACTCCCAGGTTTAACCCTGCCAGCTCTCAATTAAAACAGCCCCACTGGCTCCCGCTGCAGAACTAACTGCCTTGGGTAGTGTTCCAGCCAACCAGCAAGCAAGCGGTCTTCTTCCTCTGGGTCTGAGCGGCCTTCCTCCCTGAGTCCACACCAACCTTGTGCGCTTGCTTATTATTTTCAAGCAGATCCCACTCCGAATATTAGTTTCTTCTGTGCTCTCCGTCTTCCCACAGCTCACTCTTCCTGCCTTATAAAATTAGTGCCGCTTTTTTTTAATACTCGTAAACTTTTTTTTTTTTTTTTGGTTTACAGGGAGTTTACACAGTGAGTAGGACTTTCGTGTCTCGGTTTCCAGCCGTTTCTCTTGTGACATCTTGTATTGATGAGGTACACTTGCTACCACTGTTGAGCCAGTGCCAATGGGTTATTGCTAGCTAACGTCTGCAGTTCATTATTATGATGGCTCAGGTTTGGGGCGCACAGGCCTGCGGGTTATGACAATTGCACAATGCTCCATGGCCAGCACTTTGGTGGCATACAGAATAGCTCCCTTGCCCTGTGGCCTGCCTCTTCCCTGTGCACAGTTAAGAAGCAGCTAAAGGAGAACTGGACAGATTTCTTGGAGTCAACCGCAAGGACTCCCTAGGGCCCCTGCAGTACTCCTCACACTTGCTATGGCTAGGCTTCTCCCTTCACTGGGTGGCTGTCCTCGAGGAAGGGGTCGTGCCACAGACTCACTGGGTGACACATATCCTCAGACAAGTGCTCTTACCAGATGCCCCGTGAATGCTGGCTGACCGGGGCTGTAGAAGGAGACTTTAGGATGACATTTTGGCATGCAGAGGCTAAATTCTGACAGTGACACGTGCTTCCTTACAAATCTGCCCTTTCAAAGGATGAGTTCTTTGAGGGGAACCATCTTGCATCCTTTCAGATTTCAGTTAACGCACCAGTCACAGGTGCGGTGGCTCGGGCCAGCTTTCTCTTACAAGCAGGCGCGGGGCTGTTTCCCAACCTTGTTGCTCTCCAAAGAGCAAAGTAAAAACAGCAGCCAGGCACGGCTGTTTTCATCTTTCCTGACGAGACCCCCTATTCTTCCCAGGTGGATCCCCTGCAATAATCAAAGATGCTCAATGCATCGTCGTCGTCTTTGGACAAGGAGCACCTTCCCATCAACACTTATTTTCTTAATTCACGCTGAGCCTTTTGCTTTAAAGACACTGCTCTCAAGCGTTCTAAAACTCAGTGGGAACAAGCAGATCCGAACAAAGGCAAATAAATCGAATCCTGCGAAGTAACAAAGCTGACGCCTTTTCCCCCAACAGCCAGCACAAAGCTAAATGAAAAATATCAGTCATCCACTAGATACAGTGTCCCCCCCTCCCCCAGACAGGAGCTGGGGCCTGGAGACCTCCCCCACTCCAAACAGGAGGCCCAGAAGGTACAAAACAAAGTATCTATTCCCAAAGGAGTCATCTGTTCGAGCTGCCCTGTGTACCTCTCCGCACTAGCGGTTTCCTAGACCTTGGCCAGGACTTCTCTGTACCTGCCTCCAAACACACCACACGTGGAGGTGGTGGTGGGAGGGAGGGAGCCCACCGCTGCCACATAGGCAAAGGGAGAGGGAGGGTGCGGAGGAGGGCGAGTCAGGGAGGAGGGCAGTTCCCCGAGGACAGTTGGTGCTCGCTAAAGAGCAGGGCTCCCCCGTCCCTCTGCACCCCAAAACTGAAGGAAGCGGGGGTGGGGGGCCGGGGGCGCCTGTCTGGTCCAGGCAGGGCCGGCAAACTGTGAGCTTTGATGCCGCAGCGGCGATCGCCCGAGGGCACCTGGGTTCCCGGGGAGGGGGTGAGCGGGGGCGGAGCCTCCCGCAGGTGTGCGGTGAGCCAGGACCACCTGAAGTCGCCCCGCGGACGCCAGGAGCCCCCGCCGCCCCCGCCCGGGGACGCCGCGCGGAGGATCGGCGCATCCGCGTCCCCAGCCGCAGGCACGGGGCCCCAGGGGCCTGGCTCCGGGAAGGGGCGCCCGCGCGGCGGCGGCGCCGAGGGGGGTTAAGCCGGCGGCTGGCGGCTGCGGCGCTCTTAACCCTCGGTCAGCCGCGCCAGGCCGGGAGGGTGGCGGCGTCCGAGTCGCGCGCCGTGGAGCCCGGGGGGCGCGTGGGCCGCAGGCCGGCAGCTGGGGCGCGGCGCGGCCGGTGGGAGGCCCGGGCGCGCGGGGGAGGGCGGGGGACGGCGGCGGGCGCGCAGCGTCGCCAGGGCGAAGCCGGCGTGCGGCGCGGCGCGGCGGGCGCGGAGCGGGCGGGCGGGCGGGCGAGCGCCTCCGTCCCCGGATGTGAGCTCCCGCTGCCCGCGGTCCCGAGCCAGCGGCGGCGCGGGCGGCAGCGGGGCACCCGGCACCGCGGCGGGCGGGCGGACGGGCGGCATGGGGGGCGCGCCGAGCGGCCCGGGCGGCCGGGCGGGCACCATCGCAGCGTCTCTCCGCTAGAGGAGGGGACCAAGCCAATTCTCCTTTGCAGCAAAAAATAAAAAAAATAAAAATAAAAAATTACATGTATATATTATTAAGATAATATATACATCTGATTTTATTTTTTACAAAAAGTTTATTTTGCTCCATTTTTTTTTAAAACGGAGCGTGGGTGGCAGGCGGTTTTTATAAATTATCCTTTATTTTTGGTGATTTGTCTCTGTCCTTCCCCACCCCCTGCTGAAGCGAAAATAAGGGCAGGGACCGCGGCTCCTATCTATTCGTAACCCCCTTTACCCGATCCTCCTCCTCCCTAACGCTGAGCATAGTGCCCTGCACACAGTAGGCACTCAATAAATGTTCGTGGATGATGATGATGATGATGATGAAAAAAATGCAGCATCAACGGCAGCAGCAAGAGGACCACGCGAACGGTGAGCAGCCAGAGCCCGGGTACCCGCTGCTAAACCTCATCCTATCGTGATCCTCCTCTCCCCAACGCACCCCCCCTCCATCTCCCATGCGCTGGGTGGGTTGAGGGGGTTGGAGATAGAGCTTCTGGCTTGGTGTCATCTACATAGAAAGGGGAGATTGCGCGGCAGCTACTCCGTTCGTTCTCCCCCTTCAGGCCCTGAATGTCAGAGTTAATTCTGCATTTGTTGGGTTGGGGTGGGGGCGGCATTGGGTGTATGTAGTACCGTGCAGCCAAGGGGCTCGAGTGAGGTGACTCAGGTTCAGTGTCCTCGGGCTCAACTTTCCTCTTTCATCGCCCCTGGGGAGCCACGGAAGAGGGGGTGTTAGTCTTCAGCCTGAGCCCCCTCTCCAGCCTGTTCTCTCCTCCCCTTCCTCCTCCCCGCCCTGGTTGACCAAGAAGAAGGTCCCTGGTAGCATCAGGAATATTCTAGGATTGCTCCACTTTTACCCCCTGGGTGGCTTGCTAAAGTGCACGTCCGACCTCTCTTGAGAGAAACCCTGGTCTTGGGATATGGGGTAACAGGGTCGGGTGGAGTGTGTATTCCCGCTCCCAGCGCCTCCTGTGCACACGTCCGTAACCTAGCAATGCCCAAAGAGTCTCTGCCGCCGCTGTGGGGCTCTGCAACTCAGCCCCGGCCACGGCACCACGTGCAATTTCCACACCAGCGGGGCTGGGTCTAGAGAGGTTGGGGTGGCTTTTGGCCAGCCTTCCTCTTTGGAGGTCGTTGGCATCTCCCAACCCTGCTATGCCTTTCCCAGTGAGCGCTTTTCAAAGGAAAAGCTTGGCAAGACTAGTCCCTGAGCTCAGATTGTATGCTGCCCCCTTGCTTTCCTTGTGTCTCGGGCTTGCGGGCCAGGGGACCTGTGATGGCTTTGACGCTTTACTTAGTGATATTTGGTTTTGCAAACGCCCATCCCTCCAGCCTCTCACTTTGACTTCTGCTTTAGCAGAGACCATGGCGGCCCAATGTGGGCACCGTGAGACCTTCCGAGGAATGGCCCGACACTCACGTAGGGGAGTGTCACACATGGAGGCCCCTTTGGGATTTTGCCTTAGTGTGTACCTGGATGCTGCTCTACCACAGCTCCAAGCAATGAGATAATTCTTGCATAGGCCCCTGGGTTCCCTGGCACGATGCATCCTGTCTCTTAGGTGTAGGGGTGCAGGCTGAGTGGATGCTGGCTTGGCTGCCGCCGCCGCTGCTGCTGCTGCAATTTAAAATGCAAAAAAGCCCTAAAGATGTTTTTCTGTTTTCGGAAGCTTGCAGAGGAAATGAGTCCCAAGCATCATGAATTTTCATTTGCAGGAAGTGTTAGTGCATAATCTAGATATTTGTTATGGGGCTTTTGGTACTGCCTGGTGCCAGTGAAGACTCCCCCCCCCCGTAGAAAAGAAAGCATTTGTGTCTGTGGATAGATGTTGGAGAAGCACCCTAAAAATGGTTGAGACTATTGAACTATTGGCTGTGTGGGAATTAGTGATTAATCTCAGAGAAAGGCAGTTGTGACTGTCTGTTAGGCCAGGAGAGATACATGTGTTTTCAAAGTCAGAGAGATGTGCTAAGAGGTTCCCTTTGCAGACACAGGTACGGAGGAGTACCATTGCGATTGGGTGTGGTGCAGGAAGGAACCCTGCATGGCTGAAACTCAGCTGAGCCCCGTGCGTGGACTTTTCTGTTTGTTGCATCGCCCGACCAAACCCCACTACTTGTGAAAAACAGGACACGGTGTTCAAGTGGGAACTCAAGACTGATTCCTTTTATCATCGATGGGAGACACCTTTGCTTTTTAAAGATAAGATGAATTGAAGTCTCTCTTTCTTTTTCTCTTCTCCTCAGAGGCAAACTATGCAAGAGGCACCAGACCCCCTATTTCTGGGGAAGGACCAACTTCCCAGCCGAACAGCTCCAAGCAAACTGTCCTGTCTTGGCAAGCTGCAATCGATGCTGCTAGACAGGCCAAGGCTGCCCAGACCATGAGCACCTCCGCACCCCCACCTGTAGGATCTCTCTCCCAAAGAAAACGTCAGCAATACGCCAAGAGCAAAAAACAGGGTAACTCGTCCAACAGCCGGCCTGCCCGAGCCCTTTTCTGTTTATCGCTCAATAACCCCATCCGAAGAGCCTGCATTAGTATAGTGGAATGGAAGTATCCTTTTTTTTCCCTCCCTGTGGGAAGTCCTTCTCTTTTACCATCTGCGCTTCCAAAGGATTTGCTGTGTGCAGTGTGACACTTAGCAAAGATTCTCCAGCATTCTGGAATGTGAGCAAGAGAAGCTGGAGGCAAGGGAGTTCATGGGCTACAGCTTCCTGTCTCCTCAGCTTGTGGAGGGTGGCTCCATGGGTATATTTGGCCTTGATGATATATGTACGTGGTGTGTGTGTGTGTGTGTGTGTGTGTGTGTGTGTGTGTGTGTGTGTGTGTGTTGCTGGGGGAAGGGACTGCAACTTCAAAGTGGTAGGAAGTTAAAATATGAAAGTGACCTTTGGTCATAGGATAACAGATAGTTTTAAAGCTGTTATGGTTTGGAGGGGCAGTTTTATGGATTTAGCTTGTTGAAAACGAGGTCTGTTGATTAAAAAAAAAAAAGAAAAAAGATTGAGGCTATCTTCAGTCTGTACTGGAAGTGACCTTTAGTGGAATCTTCTGGTTCCAGTGACTAAAATTTGCCTTTGCCGCTATAGTGAATGCTATGGTTGCTTCTGGCTCTGCTATTTGGTGACCCGGATTGTCCAGGTAGCTGTAAGCATGAACATTTGCTTCATAGGGAAGGATGGCTTTTGATATTGTTACTTATTATCATTGGCTGATCAATGCTATGACTTCCTGGAATTTCCTTTTGATACCCCCCCAAAAGCCATACAGCCAGGAGTCACAGAAGCTGGGGTAGGGAGGCTGGTGAGCACCTCTTCCTTCAAGCACTGAGAGTGACAGTCAGCTCTCTCAGAGGAGCAACTGGCAGGTGCTGTGCCTGTGTGTATATATATATCCAACTGTATCCTTAGACTGGACTGAAGTTACATTTCTGGGTGTCCCTGTATTTTTAAAACTGAACTTTGATTGCCCCCAAGGATAGATGCCATGCCCCAGATCTTGGAAAACAACATGGCTTCTATCTGCTCGTCCCCTTTCCCAGATCCGGGGCCAGGCGTCCCCACCACCTAGTAAGGTTGGCCGAACCCTTCTCTTGAGCACGCGCTTTCTAATTACTCATATGCTTCTTTGGGCTGGGTAAAACAAAGCATTCCCTTTTCCCAGAAGGGTGCTTGGGGCCGAGAGGCCCTCTGAGCATTTCCTGGCAGCAGGCAGGGGTGTGTGCATGGAGCTTTCCTCATTAGGCTCAGGGGAGGGAGAAGCCATGTTGTAAGATTGCTGAGTGCCAGCTAGAAAGTGGGGCCGGAGGTCTCTAAAAAATCTAGGTTCCCACTGAGGCAGCTGTCTGCGTGCTCTCTGTCTGAGCGCATTTATTTTGTCTGCTCACGGACAGGAGTTAAAATGTAGCAACTGTCTGGAGAGGCTTTAGAGAGAGCAGTTGAATGCCAAGGCAGGGTATGGAGGCTTTCACGTGCATTTCTTTTTAGCACAGATGTGGCTCCTCTAGAGTGAGTGAGGGCGCCTCTCACATACTTGGGGTTGTGGGTGTGCATTTTCTCTCTAAAATTCTCCAGTCTGAGGACAGAACTCTCATAGAGGCCAAGAGGGGGCTGCTAAGTTAGCATGTGCTGAGGCGGTCTCACTGGCGTGGAGAGGCAGCACACCCTTGCTGGGACAATCCTCCTCCTGAGGTTGGCGTGAGGTGACTTGAGTGAGCAGGGACCTCTGAGCGGGAGTCATTTCATATTCTGTGGCATGAGGCGCAGTTTCCCCCTTGTGCACAGGGGTTTGTACATAGCAGTTTATGTGTCAGTGGTGGATTCCTGGATCTCACCACTAGCTCCCTTTCCCGAGTTGCTAGATGCAAGTGTGTGCAGCCAGCACATACTTAGGAGACTCCGAAGCCGCCAGTTGAGGATGTCTGTGTACAATGTGACAGTTTCTGTGACCCCTTCCATTGTAGGGAGCGGGTTATGGGCATCCTTCTTTAGCAGTCTAGTCTGGTCCAGTGAGCCCCTGGGAGGAGACAGTTTGCTGTTCTAGGTTGGTAAGGGGTGGGGGTGGGGGCCTAGACGTCCCCTTTAAGAAGCTGTGGGCTCAGAACCACCAGTTTCTTGTAGTGGTGAGATAACCCCCCTACTGTCTGTTGACTGGAGCTACAGCACGCCAGGAAAGAAACACCTCAGAGTCTCATGTTCAGCCTGCCTGAGCAGTGTTAGCAGTTCTCAGATTTGCAGGTTCATCATTTCAGGTTGTTTGTTGAGAAACAGGAGAGGAAGGGAGGATGGTGTGGGGGAGGGGTAGGACTAAGTGTGTCTTTATTGAAAACAGCTTTAGGGTTGTTGACTTAAAAGTGTCAGAGGGGACCTGCAAAGAGGAAAAAAAAATGAAAAGAGAATTCTGAAGTCTTCCTAAAGTCAGATCCCTGGGTAAGAGATTTTATAACGGAAGTTGAGAAATCAATATGATTAAAGCTAACTGGCTTAAAAATAAACCCATCAAAGTTAGTAAGAGGATAATGCTATTCCTGTCCTTACTCCTGTGAGTTCTCCGAGCTCTTCAAAGGGGGTGAGGCTTTGTAGAACCTGGAGTTATCTGCCTCCTGACAGGCTTCTTGCATCACGTTGGAGGTTCCCAGAAGGCCATCAACAAGAGACTGTTCCTACCCCTGAATCTTTATACCTGGAGGGGTTTGGTGAGACCATTGCCTTGCCTCTTGTGGGTAAGTGTTATACATGAGCCTGGTTGGAATTCAAGCCCAGGAAGATGCACATTAGGTCTGTTCTCAGCAAGCCTGCTGTTTTGGGCAGATATCAAACTTTGTGTGGTCAGTTTTGACAATGCCTCTTACTAACAGAATGCTTAAGCAAGTGTCTGTTGAAGGCTCATCTCAAAGTGACTCTTCCAGACAGCCCTCCGAGATTTGAACTCGTTAGAGCCTGTTTTGAAAGTGTCTGGTGCTGATTTCTGGTGGCTTTTAAATTTGATTTGTTTGTAAATTGAAGACAGAAACAGCACATTATGAAGTGAGCGGAGCCCAGCTCTAATCTGAAACAGTTATAGTTATTGATTACTCTGGTAGAGAAGGTAGAGCAGGGAACTGGCAGCCTGATTATCGAAGCATCTGAGGTACAGGGATGTGTCACACAGGGTCACAGAGAAGATAGAGTCCCAAGGGCTTTGGCCAGACTGGTCCCCATCAGGAGTTTAGACTGACCAGCCAGGAATAGCCTCTGAGAAAATGGCTCTAACACAGTGGCAAGGATCTGTGGGAGAGGTCACTGTCATAACGGCTACCTTTCTGTGTCTATGACAGCTGATTTAGCAAGGTGCTTGTCACTTTCTAAATCACAGAGAGCAGAGCCTGCTCTACACAGCGACCTAACTAGATGCTCCTTACTTCCAGGCTTTAATACACCGTATGCATCAAAAGAAGGAGTAGATCTTGCAGTAGAAGAAAAGGCTGAGGGAGGTTACAGGATAAGAGAACCTACTGTGAGGGGGCCAGAGAAGGTTAACTTCTGCTGAAAACCCAGGAGTCGCAGAACGATGTATCGGTGGGTAAGGGGATGTGGGTGGTGGGCGATGGGTGGGTGGTTTTCATTTTAAAAGCCAGTCAGGTGTGAATGATTGGGGATGTGATAGAGATGTCAGTGTTTTGCATATTGCGTATGTACCTTAACAAAAACTTTCAGACCTTTTGACATATTTATATTATTGGCTATTTTTGCCAATTGTGTGGCCTTAGCTATTTACATCCCATTCCCTGAAGATGATTCTAATTCAACAAATCATAACTTGGTAAGTGACAGAATTCCTGCTTGTGATGGTTCGTGGCTACCCTCTACCTGGTACCCAAGGTAGCAGCCAGTTTTGTACATGGTGTGGTTTACAGTTACGTATGCTGTATTTCCCAAAGCTTTGTAACAGTGGGGTTATGTTGTTGTTACTGCTTTTTAGATTTGACCTGAATTCTTAGATTTATGCTGAATGAAAGCGTTCAAAGTCATGAGTCCGACATAAATAGAGATAGAACTTTTATGGAAGAAATTTGTAGAAGGGTTTTAAAATAACTTTTCTCTCTACACAGGCTTTGGTATATAATATTAGCTTTTACAAAATCCAGTGTTATTTTTGGGTGGTGGATACTGTGGTTAATTTTTCTGATAAATAAGGATTATCATAGATTTTATATATGAACTGTTAATTTTTTTTTTTTGGTTTTTAGAGACAGGGTTTCTCTGTATTGCCTTAGAGGCTGTCCTGGAACTCGCTCTGTAGACCAGGCTGGCCTCGAACTCACAGAGATCCACCTGTCTCTGCCTCCCGAGTGCTGGGATTAAAGGCGTGTGCCACCAATGCCCAGCTTGAACTATTAATTTTTATAGATGTAGAATATAACAAATCTAATTATATAGAACATAATTTGGGAAATAAATCAGGAAGACAGTGGAGTTTATACTCCACGGCCTATAAAAAAATACTCTAAGCAGATTTTAGAACAAACCTATGGTTAAATGCTCCAGGATGCCTCCATATACTTTATTGCCCTCTTAAAAAATTTAAGTATACATGAGCTGAGAAAAAAAATCTCTGGGAAGTTGTACAGTTAAAAAAAAACAGATTTCATTTTGTTTAACTCAGCTATTCACTGAGAGTAATTGGTTATGCATTCTTTAAGCTTTTTTATTTTTGGCAGAAGACTTTGATATCATGGAACTAGTGTTTCATGGAACTTCCTTTTGGGAAAAGTTGATAGAGTGTTTGAAAAGAAAGGCACTGAAGAATATTGGATCAAAATTTGGGTCTTACCCCACTCAGCTACACCCTGGGTGTATTAGGGAGCACGGTTCAGACCCTTTCTGCATGGCCATTCACCCACCTGGCTAAGATCACTGGGATTATTTAAAAACCTGTGACATTCTGTTGTCATTCTTCTCCGGCCCAGAAGCCATTTCAGTGTTTTTTTTTTTTTTTGGCCTTGCAGCATACTTCTTGCAAGGGCTAATTCTTCACGATCAGAAGCCACACAGAACGGTAGATGAAGGAGGGAATGTTGGGGTAGCCGGAAGCTGTTCTCTTTAAGTTGGTTCCATTTGCTTTGGATTCTGGTGTTGGAAGCGTTTCACAGAGGCAAATGCTCTGCACACTAGGCTCTCCCTGGTTAGGCAGAGCTTGGCTGGCAGCCTGAGGTGAAGCTATGTTTTTTATAAATTTGGCTTTCATGGTTTATGTTCGGGATTTTTTTATGACATTTTAAATGTTGTGTATATTTCAGGTGTAACATGATGTCTGTTTGTATTTGGGTTTTGGCACTTTGCTTTCAAAGAATTAAAAATTTTGGCTGTTACTCCTGAAAACTATGGCCTAATAAGAACACACACACACACACACACACACACACACACACACACACACACTCTCATACACATACATAGCTTACCTCTGCTGTGAGAGATTACCTGTGGGACTTTGAACATTTTAAATGAACTTTGGTTCAGTTGTAGACTTTAGATTATCATTTTAAAAAGGAAAAGCAGAAGGGGTGGAAAGCCTCCATCCATGGGGATGGGTCATTGTAGTCTAGGCCACAGATGGTGTTAGCCTTGTTACCAAATTTAACGACATGAATGGTGACCCAGTTTGTTGCTTTTTGTAGCTCAAGAGAAATGATTAAACAAACTTAGAAAATAAATACCTTTCAGAATGGCAGATTAATTTAGACCAGTAGAATAATTAATGTAGCTGAATTTGTAAGCCAATTAATATTCAGATTTGTTTCCCCCTGAGGAAATTCAGGCCACTAATAGAAGTGCCAAACCATTTTGGTGTCTCAGCTAAAAAGTGAACAAATACAATATGAGGAGAAAAAGGTAAATCTCCCCTCTTCTGGGTAGCCCTTTCCAGTGGGTGCTTTCTGGGTCATTCTGAAGTACTAAGCTTGTTTGGACAGGAGGTGAGGTTGTGTATTAGCCTGGCTAGCCTTTCTAAAAACTATATGTATACACACACACACACACACACACACACACACACACACACACACACACACTCACTCCTCTGTCCGCTGGGCATCCCCAGACTCTGACATTAAAGATCCAGTCTTACTTTCACTTAGGTGGTCACATGGTCAGATGAGTTTATACACCGCCTGTCTTTAAACATTTCCTTTCCCACTGTGGGAAGGGAAGAATCTTGATGGGTTAACCCCTGACTCCGAGCGAGGTCCCCTGCCATGACTGTCCTCCCACCAGGGAGTCAGGGTTTTTATTTTTTTAATTTTTTACTTTTTTATACATTTGACCCAATTTGTACCAAAGTGATTGCTCTATTTTTGGGATGGGTTTAGAGGCATCTGAGCAAAGCTTACTTCTCATCTGTAGTAAATACCTCTCGTTTAACGTGAATGACAGAGCAGAAGGCAGAAGCCAACACGGGTTGTACAGCTGGGTGGATTGGGTTTCTGGCAATTTCCTTGGCCTGGGAGCTCGGTGAGACTATGTGCAACAAGTCCTTAACCCCGAGACTCAGGGCCTAGCTTAGGTATGGCTGATGTGTCTGCCCGTTTCAGGTCAACTGTTGGGTAAGAAATATGACCATCTCCCTGGGGTCCAGTCTGTGTTGTATGTAAACATAGCCCGCATTGGGGACTTTGAGACTACCTTGGTGGCAACAGGTTTTCCCAGGGTCAGATGGTTATTATTATTATTTTTTAAGCGCGAGCACTAAGTTCCGTGCAGCCTCCACCTGCGGACTCGCCGCATGGAAGGCTGAAACCGTGGAAGGCAACGGTGCCTCTCCCCGGGTTCTCACAGAGATACCCCTCCCATGAGCAGCATTTCCTTTCTCTTCTTGCTGGCACCCAGGAGAGCAGCTCTTCCCTATTAGGTGTCAGGGTGGGAACGATCGCAAGTTACGTTTCCCTGGGGTGGACGCTCTTGACTTCACTCACAGTTTCCCATAAGCAAGCCGATGTCATTGAGCAGTCGTACGACCGTGCGACTGTCCCCGGTCCTCTTCCCCCACACTCTGCCTCTCATTTCTCGGCCATACTCAAGTTCTCTGCAAGGCGGATCCCCACCTACCCGTGCAGAGCGCCCTTGCTGTCTGCTCCAACCCTGCTTGGCACCATGGGAGGGCCCAGGCTTCTCCGTTTAGCAAGAGGCCTCACTCGGACCAGATCTCACGAAATAAGTTTTTTAAACCAGACGAAAGTTTTATGAACTCTTTGCCTTCGCCTTGTTGCAGCCCAGATATTTGTATTTTTACTGTGCTGGTATTTTACCTTTGCAAACTCCTGCCATCATTTCCTTCCTCTCCGTTCTTCAGACTACCAGATGATTTCTTTTTTTTAGTGAACCTGAAGCTTTTCTGTGGTTCCGAGTGCCCACCGAGCAGAGGCCAAGCACCGTGGCTTGGGGCCACCTGGCTTTTGGTGTTGCGTTTCTCTGTTCCTCCATCTGTTCGCCCAAAGCTCCCAAGTATTTACCCTTACTCTGCTTGTCCACTTCCGGTCTTTTCCTTGTACTGTTTTCTCTCCCCCTTCCCCACGACTCCGCTTAGTCATCTCAAGCATTGGTCTCCTGAACAACAACACTGCTTCTGACCCAGAGCTGAAGACCTGAACAGTCTTATCTGAACCTTTCTCTTATGGCACTTAGCATTTTGTCTTATCAGTGACCCACTTCCAGATCCTTGGCCCATGCCTGACATAGCGGTACCCAGCAGATGTTCGGTACGATGCCTCACATGGCAGTACCCAGTAGATGTTCGGTACGATGCCTGACATGGCAGTACCCAGTAGATGTTTGGTATCTCAGCGTGTGGATTTTGCCAAGAGAACGGGTGTCTCAGGAGCAGGGCTTCCCGAGCTAAGTGCCCGTCCTTCTCCTGAGTCCCATTGAGGATCCTCTTGGGTGACAGGCCTCTCTGAGGACTCCTCGGGAGCTCTCCGAGATGGAGTCAGGGACAGGGCTGTTATTCATTTGGGGCTCTGGTTCCATGGTTCCAAGCAGCAGAATGGTAGAGGCCCCTCCGAGAAGCCGTTCCGGGGAGCAGACACTTGTCAGCGGGGCTGGGCATACCACTGTGTCCAGGAACGTTGTGAGATGAGGCACTGTGATCGCTTTCTCCCTCTACGTGTTAACGGGGCAGGCTCACTACAGCTGCATGGCCATGCGATTTGCAGAGTGGGGTGAGGGGTAGCCCGGCGCCAGAAGTCACATAGCTTGGCTGTGGGCTCGGGCGTGTAGGGTGGGTGCTGCCTCCATGTTCACCGACACAGATCTTGCCCTGTTGCCCCACTCAATGCCTAGCTTGCAGCTGGACGGCTCAAGGACCCCCTCCTTTGCCAGCCTTCTCTGCCCGAGAACACACCCGCTCCCTCACTGGCTCTGCTTAGCAAGGTACTTCCCTGTTTACAGCCCTTGCCGTCCAGCAGCTGTTAGGGGAGGAGGCTTGCGTCCCGTGGTTCTGCTTTGGGCGCATGCGGCCCACCACGTGGGTGATTGGTTAGTAGACTTTGCGTCCCGTGGTTCTGCACACGGGCTTTGGGCGCATGCGGCCCACCACGTGGGTGATTAGTTAGTAGACCTTGCGTCCCGTGGTTCTGCACACGGGCTTTGGGCGCATGCGGCCCACCACGTGGGTGATTGGTTAGTAGACTTTGCGTCCCGTGGTTCTGCACACGGGCTTTGGGCGCATGCGGCCCACCACGTGGGTGATTAGTTAGTAGACCTTGCGTCCCGTGGTTCTGCACACGGGCTTTGGGCGCATGCGGCCCACCACGTGGGTGATTAGTT